TTTCTCTTAAAACAATGATAGAGAAATGCTTTCGATACATGTCACTGCTTCTGCTGTCAGGAATCACCGGAGAGCGTACCGGTCTTTCCTTGCTGCCGCGTCTGAGGCGTTGTGTCGTCAGCTCTCTGTTATGCGTTGCGTGGAAAGTACAGTCAACCTACTCGACGCTATTTTCTAATTCATACCTTGATTTGCTGTGCAATTCAAAAATCATGTTTGATATCAAGGCAGCATACGAAATTCTTGCGTAAATTTGTAGATTTGAATATCATCATGTAAATATATTTTGAGTGATTTATTTCATTTATCACCGTTTACCTTGGCAGTTCTACGTAGTTTTTTGCTTAATCTCGCACTAATTATGATAGCAGTGTTAAGTGGCCTAAAATAACAAAACACGCACTATGTATTTTGCTACCAAACTACTATACAAAGAAAAATATGAAAACAACAGATAATGCGTTTCCAAAGTCAGAAAGCTTGTATAGTCGATATGTCGGCGTTAAACGCTGAAATCCGTCATTCCCTGAAATGCCTAGTCAGCCCCCGTATTGCCGGCAAACACCGCAACGGTTTGATTATTACAACGGTTGGCTAAGCATTTCAGTTATTCCCTGTAATGACTGAACAATTTCAGTCAAACATTGTAACAACCACATTAACTTCGTTATAGCATTTTCCTGATTCAGCCATTCACTGTACCAGTTTTGAGTTCATTTGAATACTATGACAGTGTGAATAAGAAAAAACCATGGAATACAAATGAGTTAAAGGAGATAAATTAGTTTTTATAATATTGTGAACCTAACCTAAATTATAACAGCAGCATCCAGTTGCTGGATTTCGTATATACTTCGACTTCGACTTCGAAGTTGAGTCATTTATTTTAACAGTGAGTAGATCTGATCAAAAGAAATGTTTCTTCCTTTAACATTTTTCTGGTAAAATTAAAGTAACAAAGTTATAGCCCTTTAGAAGTTTCAGTACCGCCCTGTCTCAATAATAATATTATGTGCTCGTGTTTGGCAACAACGGATATAATCCGCCTTTTCGGTTCATCGCATCGGAAACAAAAAAGCGAAAGAATTTGAAACGCTTATCATGTTTTTACTACAATTTTATTCAGTTGTATTCAGTCAATGTGTCAGTCGGTAACGCGTGAATGAATAGTGGTGTTTGTTGCGTGCCTCAAACGAAATAAAAAATGGCACATGTTTACGAAAATGCTGAACTTGTGGACGGGGGGGAGTCTTTACAAAATGCTGCCGCGGCATCACGGATTTATGCGGATCAGTTTCCCACTCGAGTGCAACCAACCCCTCGTGCCTTTGTTAATGTAGTACAAAGGGTTCGTGAATCAGGTGACTTAAGACCTCACAGGGGAGGGCATGCCGGATGCCGGTGGTCCAAGACCGCACGATCAAATACAGGTCCGCACTGAAATACTTGTCGGGAGGATACTTTATAAAACAAGGTAAACATTTTTTTGATTTTTTTTTTATTTTTACACACATATTTTGGTTTATCTTCCTTCTGCAATCATTATCTGAAAATTAATGACTCAACTTCAAAGTCACCCTGTATAGTAAATACTTGATTAAAAAAAACAATAATGTAATAAAGACAACGTTTTAATCTATTCTTCCTTCCTTTTAGATTAATTCATGCTTGATTATTTTTCTTTTAATATTATTGATAAAGTATAGTAACTTGTTATACCTATTATGTACTTCATTGGAGCAACACTGTATTGATTTCAGCGTTTGACCAAAATACGCGAATGCAGTAACGAGGTTTATGTGGTTGTTACGGTGTTTGACTGAAATTATTCAGTCGTTATAGGGAATGACTGAAATGCTTGGTCAAACGTTGTAATAATCAAACTTACGGTGTTTGCCGGCAATACGGGGACTGACTAGGCATGTCGGGGAATGACGGATTTCAGCGTTTGACTCCGACAGATATATTGTCAATTTATTTGATTCCCCCTTTGATAGCTTAAAACAAGTGTTCAAAGGAATCACTGTCGTGGTTATAATTTACTGTCTTTTTTGTTCAATAAACATCATGTTCGTATTTCTTAGAGTTATTTCATCACGAAAAATTTAGGGGAATCAAAGATGTTCATGGGGCATACCATACTTTTACGTATTTTGCAGCCTCTATACTTTTAAAGAGTAGATTCTAATCTCTTTCATTTCCTGACATAGGCATGCTATACAGTATGTAGGCAGTATAAACGGCGCAATAGGAATAGAAATTTTCAAAACGTGTAAGGTATGTACCAAGTTAATCACCTTGACTCTATTTTTTTAAACACATTTATTCTGAAATAATGTCACACTTGTTTGATAACGATTATGAATGATTGAAGGTCTACAATGAATGCAGATTCATTCCATATTAGTTACACTATGGAATAATACTACAAAAAATGTGTGTTTACGCCATTCTTTATATAGTAACACCATGCTGTTTGAACAGATGTCAGGACGTTTTCTATGGACATGCTGTCTAGCTGTTTTTGGTTGTAGAAAGACATTTACTAATCATGATAAAACGAATACAAAATTGCACAAAAATGCAACTTTGAGGCAAAACAAGTCATTTGAGTATCTATAGTCGCTAAGCTCAAGAAATTTTATAATTTTTAATTTTTAGACGAGCGGCACTCTTAAATAGAATCCCGTGAATCAAAGCGGTAAAATGTTATGTATGTGTATTTATTATGTCTGGGCCATTTATTCAAACACTGGGCAACAAAGTATCTGTAAAGACACTTTACAAAAGTAGTGATTGTGAGTTATAAAAATGGCGTCAAGTAGCAGAGAAATAAAACGGATCAAGTCAGTCAAACAGGCACTTACAATATTAGTCCATAGACATTCAAGATTGAAGGGGAAATCTATGATGTGCGAAATATGTCTAATAGATGCGTAGAATCACCGAGGTTGAGAGTATCTACCAACATTAAAAAAACAAAATATACCCCAACCCACCACTTACAACCCCAATGTCTAACCTCTACAACTTTTTTTCTGAAAATGATCTCGAGCCTCTGTAACGTCAAAAAACGAAGTTTGAGCTATTTCTATTATTTTTCCATTTTCTGCCTCGTAGCTCCACCAGCACTGACTCGATTTTCACAACTAAAGCTTTTCCATCCTTGACACACTAGTAAGCTTGTGTGAAAATTTAATCTATATCCGGGCCGTTTTTCGTGATGTACATGGCTTATAAGTAGTAAAAGTAGTAGTAGCAAAAGTAAAAATGTATCTTATACGTACATACGTACTATGAAAATGCCTCATATATAAATTTATCATAGTTATTATCATCATTATTGAAGTGTCATGATGATTTGGCACCTTAACATATTTTCCATTACGCCCAAGTGAAGTGTAAAGGATCAGCATGATGGAAAACGTCGGAAAACAATTTTTGGGAGTTATTCAAAATTTCAACTGCTCCCAAAAAATGTAAGCTTAAAAAACGAAGTTATTATTAAGTCCATATCCATTAATAAAGCTTTATCGTCCATGGCAATAACCTTGCTTCAAAGTTCATCCTCAGCTAAATGAGCAGTTATCAACCTCACAAGGAATTTTAATGCAGCACCCAAAATCAAAAACGTTGAAAAAGTCTCGGCCGTTGCTGGACCGATTTCAAAAACCTGCAAGGATTTTTCGACCTTGTCTTAGAGTAGTCTTGGTTTAAAATTAAAAATAAACTTTTGATATAGATGAGCCAAAGACTACAAAAACACAAACCGACAAAAATGGTAATATCCGAAATACATATCTCAAATTTCGAATACTTCGCGATTATTTCCCTAGCGACAACCATGGCGATTTAATAGCAGAAAAAACAAAATTTTGGTATTTCTAAAAAAAAAGAAAAAGGTACTGAAACAAACTAACATGACAACATTCTCCTACTAACTATACAGGGTGTTTCAAATCCGACCCTCATCATTCAGATCTCGGAAACTGCAAGAGATACGAAGTCGCCTAAAGGGGACAAAGTTGCGTATTCAGGTAATCAACAAAATGCCGCTTCCAAGGTTTCTAAATTCAAAGTACTTCTGGAGAAAGACGGAAAATACTGACTTTATTTGTAGTGGGATTGCACTTTTTCTCCTGTATGAGATGGCATAACTAGAACTCCACTATGACGTTTCTTCTGTTGTCCTCCAGCTTTATTTTTTTTATGGACGCCTTCCTATCTAGGAAATTCTGTTTTTCTGGGATAGCTAAGGTTTAGCAATGTCAATGTATGACATATTACATTTCAGAAATCAGAATTAAAAACTCTATTCATCTGAGTAAAAATCCAATATAGCGTCTATAAGAAAAAATAAAGTGGATGCTGGGCGACAAGAGATGAAACGTCATATTGGAATTCTAATTATGCCATCTTGTAGAGGAGAAAAAGCCTCAATGTTGATGTGCAATTTATTTTAAAATCCCACTACAATTAAAGTTAAAATCAAAACAATTTTGGGATAATTCGGTCTTTTCCGCCTCTCACTCCGTAAGTACTTTAAATTTCTAAGCAGCATTTTGTTCGTTACCTAAATACCCAAATTTGCTTCCATTTAAGCAACTTCATATCTCTTACAGTTTTCGGGATCCCAATGGTGAGTGGTGAATTTGAAACACCGTGTATATAATACTTGAGTATTATTTATCATCTCCCACAAAAATAGATTCCCAATGGTCTGACGGTTGTCCACTTCTTTATGTACAACATTCTTTGTTTGTAAACTTTCAACCATGGCAGAGTAAAGAAACAAAGTGTACTTTCCTGTGGTACTGTATGTGTTGGAATATAGCACTTTGATCCTAAATTTGTCTTTTTTTAATGCAGAGTCAAAACTCACACTCACTCACACATTATGGACCACGGAGTAGGTCACTCTGGTCCTCATTACCTCAATTTGTCTCATTTTCGTTTTCAATGAGCAAAAATTCACAATCCTCCAAAAAAAATTAACGTACCTGCTAACACTATTTGTCCTCCCATCGTCAACAAAACCATAATTCTTTTCACCACCACTCATCCTGCTGCGGTGAAATCAAGGATCCCGCTGCAAACGATCGTCCTCAAAATCCTGATGGATTTTAATCTACCCCTTCTAGCAACCCTGCGACCTCTTAGGATCCTCAACGTCGTCCTGTTATTTGTCAAATTGTGATCACGAATTTTTTGGTTCACCGCGAGTTCAAATTTCGTCCTGCGAAAATTGCTGCTCAGCTCGTCCTGCGAATTGTCCTGCTGCGAGTTATCTTGTTGATATCGTCCTGTGATTGTTTCTGCTAAGTTCGTCCTGCGAATTTTCCTGCTGCGAGTTTTCCTGTGCGTTTCGCGTCGTAAATATGAACCAGATCGCGATAGGCCAGTCACTCGTTGGTGGCATTCGCGTGTGAGCCGCTGCTAAAGTGAATGGAGTCGCAGGTTGACTATCTCGCAATCAGAATGAAACTGTGTATACGGTTGCAGGACACCTTTAAGTATGTCGCTTACGCGAAAATCTTCGCGCGCGCCTCGAATTTGGTGCGGTGGAGGTGATAGCGGGAACGGGTTGCGTTGCAGGATTCAGCGCGCGGTGACATCAGATTGATAAGATGTCTCGCACTTACGATAAATTAGAGTCTAAGAAATCATGTTTGGCAAAATTATAAGTGGACAAATTATTTCGTGAAATCGTGTAAAAAGGGTGGCTCTATGAGGATATATAGTAGTGGACAAAAGTATATAGACAAATTAATATTGTGCTGATTTCTTTTTTAACTTGTTTTATTAATACACCAACCTGTATACATCATTCTTTATAGCATAATACTCACTTATACATAAATGAATTTATTAGATTCCCTTCAATAAAAAATTAATTGGAAAAAACTGGAACTATGAAGGACAAAAATATATAGACAAAGCAAGACAATTATAGAAAAAAGAAGTAAAGTTCATTGAATTATAGAAAACCAACCATGTTTTTGTGAATATTTTGTAGCATAACCATTATTATCAATCACCGCCTGGCATTGTCTCGGCATAGATTGTAGAGGTTTCTTGATGTAAGATTCATCAATCTGTCTCCACTTTTGCTCTAAAGCGGCAAAAAGTTCATCCTTGTTTGAATAATTTTTATCTCGTATTTGCTTATCTAAGTATTCTCATAGATTTTCAATGGGATTTATATCGGGAGACTGTGAAGGCCATTTGAGAACTGGTAGTTTTTCATCCAGAAAGAATTTCTTTGCGAGATGTGAAGTGTGCTTCGGGTCATTATCTTGCTGGAAGACTGATCTTAAGGGCATATTGTCTTCCATACATGACATGCTTTAGTATCTCTGTGTATACAAACTTATCCATAATGCCATCTATTCTATGTAAAGGTCCCATCCCAAACCCCGAAAAGCACCCCCAAACCATAACAGACCCGCCTCCATGTTTGACAGTGGGCAATGTGTACTTGGGGTTGAATCTTTGTCCACTAGGACGTCTAACGTAACACCATCTGATCCAAACATATTGAACTTGGATTCGTCACTGAAACATACCGTCTTCCAGTCACAGATGCAATCGGTCGTTACGGTTTTTCCTCGAGATTACCGGCTTCTTACTCGGGAGACGTGCAAATAACTTCAAATCATTTAATCTTCTACTTATAGTTTTCGTAGAAACACTGACAATTACTTTTGTCTCGATTTCGGCTTTTATTTGTCTTTGGATTTTAAACGAATCTTTGGATGAAATTACTTTTATTAATCTAACTCATCTAGCATTTAGATTTCTAGGCAGACCACTTCTCTTAGAGGCTTCTAAGATACCTTTTTTTTATATTTGTTCAATATTGCCCAAACTGCTTTACGCTTCAGCTACAAATTTTTGGCAATGTCGACTTGACGTTCCATCTTTGTATAACTCAATGATCTTAGTTTTCTGGACCACGCGGCATGGTCTTAAAATCACTCAACTCATTCCACAATACTTAATGAACACAAACTAATCCTCTTCTGACACGAAACTGTACTAAACTAATGTTGAAAAGAATTTGTCTACATATTTTTGTCCCTCATAAAAAAGTACTTATATTCAGGCTTGTATTGTGTTCATTGCAGATAATGTAAAATCAAGCAATTTAGTTATTCTACTAATAACGCATTTGTTTATGGAGCAATGAAGTATGAATTCGTTTTCTAAAGGTATTTAGGTAAATATTCATATTTGTCTATATACTTTTGTCGATTACTGTAGGTCGTGCCAGAAAATAATTTTCAGCTTGAAAAAAATATGGTAAAAAATCATTTTTTTATTTTTCTCATCACATTATTTTATCGTTAAAGGAATGAACGTTGGCCCCTTTTTCAGCCCTACAACACTCACAGATTAAATTTTTGAACACCAGAATCAGGCAACAAATGTTCAAGTTTAGCAATAAAGCCGCTATAAATCTCACAATTTAATGTTTACCTTGTTCATATCCATTCGCCCGACAGTAACATCTAAATATGCTTATGTCGAATATAATAGTACAATAAATTCCAAATCAAAATATCGCAGCGTTCGAGAGGCGCCAGACTTAGAGGGGAGACAGGGGAACATGTGACCCGCCTTCAGTACAAGTTTGAATTCGCTCGAGTCATTTGATTGTCCGATTTTTTTTAAATATTTTTTTATATTGTGTTGTATGAATGACATCAATTTCGGTGTGCTATCAGGTTTTGCTTCAGTCTGGGGCACAGTACAACGGAAACTCTTGCTAAACCTGTCAAGAGTCTAGGTTTTTCGGTGACATTTTCAGAAGGGAGAGAGTCGAGAAAAACCGATGAACATATCGATTGAATATGAGCTTGCGCATTCAGATGGTCGCGTCGGTTGACAGTCAGAATGATCGGGGAATAGTTAAATTTGACTCAAGAGCAACTGGGTGTTGCATCACGATAATGCTCCTTGTCACACAAAAATTGTCAATCAACATTTCTGTGGCTCGTCAGCCTCCTTATTCGCCCGATTTGAGGTCTTGTGAATTTTTTCTCTTTCGAAGCTATAAAAATCATCTCAAGGGAACTTATTTTGGGACAGTCGAAAACGTAATCAACCGGCTATTCCAGTATCAGAGTTCCAGGTTTGCTATGAGGAGTTGAAGAACCGTCTCCAGCGCTGTGTGGCTTCGAAAGGAAGTTATTCTGATAATATAAAATTGTGATTGTATTTGAATAAATAAAAATAAAAAAAATCAGTCTCATCACTTAATTTACAGGCCTCGTATGTTTTTATTGCAGTTTAAAAAATAGTTTTTAGTTAAGACTGTTGTAGACCTTAGGGAAGTCCTACGCTTTTCGGACAATGCTCACTTTGTAGAAAAAGTCTTGTGGTTGTATGATGGTAAAAGCAAAAATTATTCTACTGTGATTTTCAAGAATTATAATAAATATTTTCAAATTGCTTAACGTTTACAGTGCAACGCAAATAAATGTTTTGGTTGATCAATCTTTTTCTGCAGTCATTTTTATTTACTGGAACCATAGGCCCCAAAAAAAGGTTAATTAATTAATCAATACACACGATATGCTTAGGCGTTTAGGATACAAACTTTGATAAAAATACGCTTACATTATGAGTTTACAGTTAATAAAATAAATTATTATTTTTTTTATTATCAAATTACATAATAACAGTTTGTAATCAAACTCAACTATAAAAGACCTCAATGCCCCACAGTAATCTTTCCCCAGTTCCGAGCTAGCAGCCGTCGCGAGTATACACTTGTGCGACTGCGACCCACCCGGACTTACAGTGCGATCCTATTGTGATTTTCATCACGATACGATCGCCATCCACGATGGCGAGAATAGAAAAACTGAAGAGCCAGCTGAAGCAGAAGGAGGATAACTTCGCAATGCTTGCTGAGCAGATGAAAAATCTGCAAGAAGCATTCAAACAGGCGAGGCAAGAAATAGATGAAGTGAAGGGGAAGCTCCTCAAAGCGAAGAGGAAGGCAAAGAAGACCGAAGAAGAGGAGGAAGAGGACCACCAGGCTACGTCGGACGAGATGGACGCTCAAGAAGAGGGCACTCAACGGACCGAAGAAATAGAAGAAGAAGCCAAGAAGAGGACCGACGACACCGATTTCAGTGTCGCCACCAGACGGAGGAATCGGGTGCGAGTTTCCTCCTCCGAAGATGAGTCGCCAAGGCAGCCAAAGATGCCAGCTGCCGCCACCAAGAAGAGTCCTAGAGCAGCCAGGACCATCGTGCCCCCCATGTCGGGAACAGGAGTTCCCCCCATCAGCATCGAGAGCACCGCTGACTGGTCATCCTTAAGCAGGATGATGAACCGCAAGGGGATCCAATTCTCCAAGGCGAGGACGGCGGGTAACAGTGTGAAGGTGTTCACAAATACACCAGCTGACTACCGTCAGCTAGTCGCACTGCTGGAATCCATCAAGCGTCCCTTCTTCACCTATCAACTGAAGGAGGACAGGATGGACCAGAGGGTCATTCGTGGGCTACCCAGGGAGATGTCAGTCAATGACATCGAAGAGGATCTAGTGAGCCAAGGCATCGCAGACGCCGAGGTTCAGCAGATGACCTCAAGGACCACCAAGAAGCCACTTCCGCTCTTCCTCGTCAAGACGAAGATGCCGGAAAAGCTTGCAGAGATCCAGAGGCTGGCCATGCTCACGGTCAGCTTCGAGAGGAAGAAAAAGTCTTCCGAGCCCAGCCAATGTTACCGCTGCCAGCGGTACGGGCACACACAGCGGAACTGCCGTCTCGCTGAACGGTGCGTTAAGTGTGGAGAGGACCACAACAGCACCAGCTGCAGTCTGCCAGCGCCGCCAACAGGGCAACGAAACGCCAAGTGTTGCCTCTGTGGAGAAGGCCACCCCGCCAACTACAAGGGATGTAGTAAGGCCCCGAAGAAAGCTGCTTCTGCCCCCAAAGCAGTCCCCACCACAAATAGGACTTCTTACGCTCAAAAAGCGAAGAAACCTATGTCCACTTCTGCCCCAGCAGCCGCCACTGCTACTGGAACTACTGCGCAGAAGCAACACGGCGATGACAGACTGCTAGCAATGATGCAAGCCATCATAACCCGCCTGGATGCACTCGAGGCCAAGATGCAAGACAAGCACTAGACCCGAAATGACTACAGGGCAAAACGTAGAATCTCTACGCATTATCTCCTGGAACATCAACGGATTCAGGGCACGGAGACCAGAAATCCAGGAGATACTAGACCAGTACCAACCAGAGGTGATGCCCATCCAAGAAACGAAATTGGATGCTGCCCATAGTCTGACGTTCCCGCGGTACGAGACGTACCGCTACGACAGAAGAGGCAGAGGTGGAGGAGTCGCATTACTCGTCAAACGTACCTTGACGAGTCATGTCCTCGACGATGCCGCAGACATCAATGGGGACGGAATCACGGTCCAGGTCCTTCACAACCACCGTTCCTCCAGGATCACCTCCCTATATGTGCCACCAGGGGAGGCCCTAGACGAAGATGACATCGCTGACCTCCTGAGAGGCCCAGGAGCACGCATAGTCATCGGAGATCTAAACTGCATGGAACAACAACGT